CTTGCTATGTTGATATCTCTATCAAAATGATTGTTCCTGTTTTCACTGTCAGGGAATTAAAAACTTACATTTCTGCAATATAACCTTGAGGGAGATGAGAGAGAAAGCAAAGCAATATTTTACTTGTAACTGAATAATTAACAGCAGCAATTGCCTGCTTATCCTTCATGGCCTTTCGCAACTAGATGGAGATCCTCAACCTCAGCTGAGCTTTTTTATCGTATTGCTCATCCTTGTGTCTGTGAGGAACTTGCAGTGAGGTTTAAGAAGTTGCAAGGCCTGAGCTCAAAGCCTCTGGTGAACTGCCATCTCTTCTCCCCACCTACTCTCCCATTTACATTCTTCCTGCCTAAAATATCTCCTTCAAGCATTCGAACATCAGATCTTTCTCTTTCCTGTATTTCAGTCATGTTCCGTAGCCTTGTGGTGCTGTAAAATAGTAAGGACAGCTTTAGCAGTGTTGCAGGATGTGTGATGAAAATCAAGATGGATGGCAACCTTAAGTGTGGAAGGTGCAGCTGCAGAGCACTGTGGCTTGTGAACTTTGACTGATAGCAAAGCAGTAGAGCTTTGCAGCAGAGCAGTAGAGAAACATTTTAAAACAGTTATTGCTATCATAAACATTGTCCTCTACTAATGCTCTCTTTCTGTAACTCTTCCTGTCTCCAGTTTAGTGGAACAGAAGCATAAGCCAAGCATAAACACCACACTCGCAACAAAGTGCATTGACTTCCTTGATCACATTTGTCACAGATTGATCAACAACAGCAAGGGCTCCAGAGTTCACCTGGAGCCCCTACAGCACTTTTTTGCATGGTATGTCTCTGCATTCAAATTGCAGTAATGGGGAAGAAACTTGAGTAACGTGTATACACCGTACACACAGCATTTGTGTAATAAATACTAGATATCACTCAGAAATATGAATTAACTACAGTTGTCCGTCTGTAGGTAAGATCACCCCTAAGTAATCCAGTTAAGTTACCCTTCACTCATTCACAGCAGGTAGGGGATAAAACCTGCAGTAGGATCCTAGGAAAGCCTGGCCTTTTTTTTTTTTTTTTTTGACTTTTTTTTGACTTTTTTTATGGTGTGGTACAGCTGTCTACCTGCAAGCCAATGTCGTATCAGGAATGATTCTCTGGTTCACCCTGCTTGCCTTTTTAAAAGGAGACAAAGAACAGACATTCAAGTTGCCTGACTAATGCACTTGTTTGCCAGAGGTCAAGGCAGAGAACAGACTGTCTGCTGCAAGGTCTTCAGAGCACCAGCTCTCCCGCATTACAGAAGCAGGAGGAGGAAGGCAGCTCACTTGTTCTTCTATCAAGATCCATCCCATTTCATTTCCTCCCTCTTTTTTTTTTTTCACTTCCCTTTTCTCCATAGCAGCTGATTTTAGCACTGTTTCTCCATCTGTGAAGCTGCAGCCAACGTAGCCTGTCCAGTCAGTCCCACCTTCCCTTATCCCCTATGGCAAATCCTGGCACACTTGCCTTACTTTTGCACGTGTTCGAAGCTGCAGGTGTCAGAAAATGGAATTTGAGCCACTTTACAGTCATGTAGTGAATGCATGCAAAAGAGTAGAAGAAGCAGCAGCTGTTTGCAGAAGGAAGAAGACATCTCTCAGGCCACTTGAGAACTCACTTGGGTGCTCTGACTGCTGTTAGGCAGAGGTGGGCTCGTTTGCTTTATTACTAAATTTCAGGTCAGCGTCCTTCTGTATCCAGCTCCATTGAGTTAATTCCCAGAAATGTGGCCTTTGGACAGTGCATCTCTTGCTGAGAATAAAGGCCCCTGTTCCAGATCAGAATCCTGAAAAGCGAGGAAATCTCTCTGTTATTAATAGCAAGATCCTATGTCTGGGTCTGGTATAAAGCAGGCTTCCACACTGAGTTCCGTCTTTCAGAATCCTGTGAAAATTGTCAAAAAAAAAAAAAAAGCTTTACAAGTTCTCCTACTTGCTGTCTTGAATTTTAAATCATTCCAGTTTAGTCATCTTCTGTCACAGCTACGTGTCCACACCTAACTTGAAAATTTCATTAGTGTCTTGAATATTTCCCCATCCCACAACCTCAGAAGCTGCAGATGGTCCTCTCTCTCTTGGCTTGTTACAATGGCAGAGGGAAAATATGTGGGCCAGGCCACCGGGAAGACAGAATTACAAGTGCATATTTGTCCAAGTGTTGACTAAACATTTCAGCAAAGCCTGCAGGGAGTCATCACATTAAAAGCTGGCGTTTGTATCTCCTCCGGACTTCTTTTTTAAAAAGAAGATAAAAGTCAGTCCCAACTGATCCCAGGCATTTTAAAAACCAGGTCTACAGTGAGGCTTTGAAAAGCATACCTACCCTGGTGGGTAGGCAGAAGGAATCCTGCAGCCGCTGCGTGCGGAGCAGCGAGACAGACGGTCTCTCACGGGGCTGCTGAGGCAGCACGGGCGCTGTGGAAAGCTGCTCCGCGGCGTGAGGCTCTGGAGCACGAGCGGGGCTGCAGCTGCTGTGGTATAGATGGCATCAGCGAGATCAGGATGGCTGCTCCAACTTCCCTTGTGGCTTGGGCTCGAGGAACGTGCCTAAGAGGATTCAGAGGCATCCAGTCTCTGTCCTCATGCACACCTTAATCTATATGAATCTGCCCCATAATCCTTTTTCAGGTTAAAAAGGAATTTGTAAGTACATGTATACACTAGCATTTATCACGGCTTAATTTAGGTAGATACTTAGCCATAAGTATTATCAAAAATAGATCGGCTAGGTTCATCTGCCTTATGCAGGATGTATCTGTGTTTAAATTAGGAAAAGATTTTGCTTTTGCTCCTCTTCTTTTCTGCATGTAAATTCTAAGTAAGTCTTTCATTCTAGGGAAATAAAATTTTCTTAGTGTTCTGTATACCTGAGAGGAACAAAGGGGTGTCTCTTCAGAAAAAGGTTGTCTCCATGGATTCTTTAAGTATGTGCCATTAAAAATGGAGCAAGTGAATGACTATGATTTAGGTGTTCAAGAACTGATTCCAAGGCAAGTGGAAATGCCCGTGGAAGAGTCTGCACCCACATAACCTGAACTGTGGCCAGTTCAGAATAGTGATCACAGTGCTGCAGCCTCTGCGTGTGCATGTCTGCACTCACCTTTGTGGGACAGAAATGTCCACGTTCAGTGTGCCAGCACTCCAAGGCAAATGCAAGCTGTTTGCCTGGGCTGAGGCTGAGTGGGGCTCTGCTACTGCAGACAAGAAAATCCTGCCCATATGACAGTTTGAACTGTGCCAGTAACGCCTTCTTTTAAAAAAATTATCACCAAGGCTGTCCTTTATTGCTCTACAAATGGGAAGTGTTTATTTTTTCAAATCACCTTGCTTGCAAGCAAACTAAAAGGCCATTGCAGAGAGGGATTTGTTAGCCTAAACACAAGCAATTTGAGACAGCACAGGAAGCCTGAGACATCTGTATGGGATTGGCAGATAGAAGATAGGACGTCTGGTGGCCCCATGCCTGAGGCAGCAGCTGGAGGCCAGCTGGGGTTTCCTCGGACAGCTAAAATGGTACTTGATATCTGCATTTAAGCAGCTGAATCCAGTCCTGTGGTGTGTGAGACTAACTGTGCTTGAAATCTGGAAGGATTAGTTTAGCAGTCAGCATACAGGCATGTGCTCGTAGCTATCCTCACAGCCTGTGAAAGGCTCTGGAAAGGAATAGAGCTGTCTCTGTACGCTGGGGCTTGTCTTCCACCAGGCCCTGCACAGGCAATATGTATTTCTTTTCCAAGCCAGACAATAATTACTTATTTTTACTACCCTAGAGAACAGAGTGTCATTTCAATCTCTGCTAGAGAGTGCTGATAGTAAACTCATATCTCTTCCTTTTCATGTCCAGGCATTTCTGATAGAAACACCACACGTTCTTCTAAGATTTGCACTACTTATAAATCCTCAGATGGGTTTTTTATGTTACTAGAAAGATTTTTCCCTTGGTATGTGAGGTGATATTGTTTTGTGTTGAATCATATGGCAAAGGAGGACCCGGAAAGATCACTGAGTTTGCAGTATTCCTAGGAATGAAGTTGTGTGGAAGGACGCAAGTGGGAAAAAAAGTGAAGATCTGTTTATCAGTACTTACGAGAAATCCCAGGAGATCATCAGGAGGATTGTATCAATATGAAGCTGGTGATTCTATCTACGCTCACAAAAGTAAATCAAAGGTGTACAAAAGCTTGGCCCTAAGTAATGAAAAAAAAGCCCCAGGGATACTTTGATTAACTAAGCAAACTCTAAAATCCGCTGTTCTTTTCCTCACCCAAATGGCCTAATACTTAAATAAGATAATAAATCAGGTATATGTGTATGTTCTCATATATATAGCTCATATGTTGATAATAACTCCAGTTACAAGGCTTTTACAAATATCAGTAGAACTAAAAGCTGAGTTTTTCCTCTAGACCAACACTATCAGTAAAGAAAGGAAAAAAAGTAGGTTCATTTCACTCATTTTAACACTATTGCCTATTTCAAAAATGTCTCCTGAACTTAAAATAGTGAAAGCTTATGGAACTGATACTACCACTGAGACCATAATGGTCTTTAAATGCACTTTCTGTCTGAAAGATATGCTTGATTGTGTAAACATACTGGCAGAGGAAGAGAAGAGGGAGAGAATGGATGTGCTTGTATATATTTAAGGCTAAACTCTAAAAAATACAACTTATTTTCCCTACTTAAGCTTTTTTTTTCTGCAGAAAGAAGCAGCAATTTAAGAACTGCACTGTGAACTACAATAAGAAATGGCAGGCTCCTATTGATTCAGCACACTTGCAATCTCATTAGTTATCAAATGGAACTTGAGTACTGCCAACAAATAAGCAATATATATATTTTATTCTATTGTTAAACTGCCCAAAGTCACCAAATACAGATTAGTCTGGAGTGTGTCTGTTGTTCTAGCTAGATATGGTATAAAACAACAATCAGTTTTAGATACACAGATTTTTTTTTCCCCTTCTCCCTTTAGGCTATTGAAAAATGCCCAGAATGAAGCTCATTTCAAAATCTGGTATCGGAAACTATTGGCTGCTCTCCAATTCTGTGCTGGAGAAACCCTGAACAACGAGTTTGCTAAGGAGAGAAAACTTATCAGAATTCTGGAAGACATTGCTGAGAAAGTAAAAGCTGCAAATGACCCCAAAAGAAAGGTTTGTTAAAAAAGACGCTTTTTTAATACTTCCCTTTCTATCTCTATTTGTCCAGGTAATTTTAATTTTTCCAAGGTAACACATCTTCCCTATAATGCCCTTTACATAGGTAAAGCCAGGATCTAACTACTGCTTTTAAAAGTAGAACTGCTGTGCTGTTCTGCAGACATGTAAAACATATGGCATTGAAGAGCCAAGTCTTGCTTCCATAGTCCTTGAGGCCAGCATATTTTTTAACCCATTTGAATTCTTTCATCTATGGTTTCTCAACCAGATCTCAAGATGGTCAGAAGTATGCTATGAAGCTGGTTGATGCTTTGCTGAAGTGAATGCTTTCATACAAAGCCACATTGCAAAATATGTGATGCCTTATCAGTAGATGCAGTAGTTCTTGAAAACTTTGAAGAAGGCTAAGAGTTTTAATTGACACACTGGATATCCTCTCTTCCCAGCAAAGGCAACCGAAGTTCATTGTACCTAATATCTCAAATTTAGCCTTCAGCAGTTAGTTAATACTGTATGCATATCTGCAGAGATGCTTTCCTGGAAATAGAAAGGTTTTAGCCTTCTTCTCCAGTGGGTGCAGTTTTTATACAGCGTGGAGACATTTCAAGTTCCAATGCATTAAGTTTCCAAGACAGCTGTTCTTGCTAAGCTGTTACTTACCTGATGGGTAAAACTGTTTCTTGCTGAGATCTCAGTTGGGCAGATCAGGAAGCCAAATAAAAATGAGATCCATCACCTCTGGCTACTAGGAAATTATCATGAGTTGTTTTTGCCTAGTTAAGTATTCAAAGGTTTTCAGAAGATGTTTCAGAAAACTTTCAGTATTTCTACAGATAGTAGCAAAATAAATATAGAATTAAAAAGACAAAAACATTAGCCAAGGGTAAGATCCATCCTAAGAAATAGAAGTAGTGCCACATTATGCCTTACTCATGCATAATTCAGACTTTAGAGACTAATCTCAAGGCTGTATTTACTGTGATCATGAGGAGCTCCCAAACCTTTCTGTTAACAGACCTACAGCTGGATGAGGGGGAGAGCAGTGCTGAGGCAACTAACCACAAATTATAAAGTTGTTGAGAAAGGCAAAAGAGACATGAGACACAGCAGAGCAGGTGCAGTAATAATAAGCCCCTAATGAAGAGCATCAAATCTGAACCTACATGACAGCATGAACTGGTGGAGCAACTAGGCAGCGAAAGGATTAATGTGAAGCAAAATCACAGTTCTTATTTGTTATAACTGTTCCTCAGCGTGACCTCATTAGCTGTTATAAGGTTACATGGGTTCTACAATCTCCAGAAATTATATTGTTTGATTAAAATATGGGCAGACAGTGAACAGCTTAGCAGCTCCTGTTGTGTGCTTTTCCGTTGCTTTAATGATTAATGTGTTGCAGGAGGTACTAAAGATGGAACTCAGCAAACTTCAGCAATTCTTCCAGGAGGTAAAAGTTTGTCGACTTCCCCTGAATCCTGCTCTTGTTGTGCAAGGCATAGAGGCAGATGTAAGTCTACCTTATGCAATGTGTTACATTATATTTAGTGTAGAAAGGGAGTGAACGAAAAAGGGCAAAGGGGACTGCTAGGTTGGGGGCAGCAGGCACATCCTCCCTTAGCCAGCAGCCACAGGCCCTGCTCTGCCTTTGGTGTGGGCAAGGGCACCTGGCTCCTGGAGATGAGGTTTTCTCATCCAGGAGCCTCCCCTGTCAAGGGTGGGAGCAGCTGAAGGTCTAGAGCTCGCTCTTTTCCTTTTGAAGTGAGACAGGCACGTGGCTGAGAATTGCCAGAATGTTAAATACGCACAGCAAGTGTCACGTATGTCTACAACCCTTATTAAAAAATGACTGAAGTAAAGGAAGTATCACTGCTATTTACTGTTACTTGCCTTTATTTTGACTACAGTACTAAGACTCAGTTATTCATTGTTTAGAAATGTTTTCACAAACAGTGTAATGCCAGAGATAGGCTGCTTCAGTTCTGGAGGAAGGAAAGATATCCAGCAGAAAAAAAAAAAAGAGAGAGAGAGAACAAGCCTGGAGATCTATGCATATTATCAGGTTTAGCTATCTAATTACAGCAATTTGCGCTCTAATTTTGCTCACTGGCTCATTATCCTTAGTGGACCTGATTCTAAGAGGTACTGATCCCCTCAGCTTTCTTTGACCTCTGATTCTCCAAATAATTGCTATTCAGCCTTGATGTCTCTGAGCACAGAGGTCTTTCAGCACCCCACAGGTTTGGGCCAATTGTGGATGACATAAGTCAGAAGAAATGGAAGCCTGCTGCTTCTCGCTGCTTTTAGGCTTTTTGGAAGTAATGACTAATGGGAAGGTATCTCACTATACATGGCCATGCTATTTATGCAGCACCAGCTTGACTGCACTGATACAAAATTTTTTAGTATAACTAACTGAAGAGAGATTTTTCATTTTTCTTATATTATTATAAGCTATTATCATGCGATAAATATATGCAGCTTCTTGACTGAACTGTATGTCAGTATAATCATGCAAATTACCATTTTTGAAGTGCTTATGATAACCTCAATTTAATTTATTTCAGTAGCACTATGGATACTGCTAGTAGTAAGGACTGTTCCCAGCCATATCACTGATGCAATGTCTTGTAGTACCCTTTCAAACAGGTATTCAATCATCCAATTGGCAAAATTCCATAGGGGTCAGCATTTCATCATCAATAATAGCCATTGCATATTACAGAGGTATGGTGTGGCTGAGGCAATATTTGAGTGCTTGTACCATACTTTGAGATATTTAGATGAAAAGCAAGAGACAGCTGTGTCTAGTCGCTTTTTTGTTCAAATTATCTCCCCTTGCGATCAACCTAGTAATGATAGCAGTTGCTGCTGTGGGGTGCTCATTATTTTGAGAAACCTGAGTATTAATTTACCATTGTCTTTGTGTTTTTTTCCATTTTATAATTATGATGATAATACTAACCTTACGCACAGGATTTGCAATGCTTAGCTCATTAATGCTTTTTAAGCCATCCATATCTTCAGGTGAAAGGAGCTATATGGTATAATGTCAGGGTTTAGGTTCAATTAGGATAAATTGCACGTAATATAGGTGGTGATATTCGCAATTTCGTGCATCTTCAGTTTGATATTAGTGACCACTGAAATTAGGAAGTCATTTTATTCCATAAGGATTGTAGAATAAGACAATTATTTTGCAGGAAAAAAAAATAGGATGAAAGGCTTTTCAGTACTTTGCAGATTCTCATTAGGTCAGTCTTAGGTATTTTTGTCCACCCAATACCCCAGTTCCAGCCAAAGTTTAGCATTAATAGGCCTGAGTAAAAATGAAAAACAATTAGGGAAAATATCCATTCATCTAATCTGATTATTGAGTGAGGCATATAGTCAGGGGAAAAAGTTTCTCATTTGCCTGATGCATCTGAACGGTCAATAATATCAAGATTTATTTATTTTATTTTTTATTTATTTTATACTGCAGAGCAGTACTTAAAAATGATACCTCTTTTGGAGAAATGTTCTGTTGTATTAGCTTGATGTTTTGTGTATGTGATGCTTTTCTTCTTCTCTCTTGATTTTTTTTTTTACCCTGAAGTTGTGTTCGTATTTTACATCCAATGCTTTCCCACTAAAAATCTCCTTCATCAATGCTAATGTTCCAAGTGGAAACATCGATATTATTTTTAAGGTAAGCTACTCCTTTAATCCTTGGTTCATTTTATATACAAAATATTGATTTGGAATGTACCCAAGTTAGATTTTGGCCCTTGTGCTTGAGAATGACTGAATCCAGTAGTCTTGCCCATACGTTTCTAGCAAGTCAAACAGAGTGTTTGGGATCACGTTTACTAGAGAGAACCTAACTCCACCTGCAGCGTTTGTAGAGGGGATAGCAGGAGAGCTTTACCCCTCTACACAACCCCTGTTAAATTAGTTGGAAGAAGTGACTTAGGGTTTCTCTGGTTTATTTTCCACTTGTCACCTTCAAAGCTTCAGAGTTCAAGTGCTGCATCCATGTACGAAATACAATGCATTTAATCTAAATCTACACTCTTCCAAAAAAAGAGATGCAAAAACCCTCTAGAATAGTGAATACTGCTTGTAGATGAATAACACTGGAAAAAGTGGGTTATGGATGCGAAAAGGTCAGCGTTGCCAGGTAAGGACATTTTTCCTACCTCTTCTGCTGTGTTACGCTCCAAACCAGGAACCTGAAAATGCATTAAAAAAAAAAATCTAGGCCATCCTGAATGAAATTCACCTTTAGAGCAGCTGTGATTCTCAGGAACAGAAGTATATTCTCAGGTATGTGAGGGGAATGCTTACATGGTGAAGTTTTCTGGGTTGTTTTTTTTATTATTTATTTTGGAGCATTTAGAAAGATGCTCCTTATACCATTTCACCTGGAAATCAATAAGTCAAGTAAGGAGATTCCTACATATTTTAGTGAATGCATGACTACAGAGCATTTAAAATAGCAATAGCTCTACCTGGACAGTTTTCCCCTGCCCAGTACTGTTCAAGAACAGCCAACTGTATAATAGTTGCAGAACTTTTACAGGGCTGCCATCACCTTCTCCTATGAGCAAGTCCTGGTGTTAAGACTAAGGCATTTGTTACTTGTATTCAATTGTTTGTTCACAATGGATCAAGTGTATGCAAAATGATAAGCACTGATACTATATGAAATTGTTGACTAACTAACTGGGAAGTTGTTTTGCAGAGATAAGTAATTTTTTTTCTCAGACTAGGTACTGAGAAGAATTAATACTCAAAAGTAGTTTTAAATGAAAAGGAAAGAGCTTGAATTTTGTTTTTTTTAAGTGATGAGTGCTCATTTTATGGTAGTAAATGCCCGTAGTCTGAAATACTTGTGTAAAAAGAATATAATAAAAGAACAAAGCACTTTAACTAAAAGAAAGAAATTAATGAAGGACTTTGAAAGAAAGCTTAAAAACACCAGCAAAAGCCACATGTGTTTTAGACAGAAGGGGGCCCAGGAGAGAGAACAAAAAAGCAAGATTTTTGTTTTCACAGGCCATTTACCCTGCCAGGGTTAGAGATAATCTCTTCATTACATCTTGTGGCTACAATTAAACCTGATTTCACTCAGATTGTTGTTTAACTGACTCCATGGGGAGAGCAGTCGGCACTGCATGACTGTTTGAATATGAATCCTGTCATGGCTAAAATATAATTTCATGATAAGATTTCCCCTTCAGCCTGCTGCAAACATGAAATTTTGAAGCTTAATGTTAGGCAAAATGCTGTCACTTTAAAATGCAACCAAATGCACTTTAAAATGTAACTAAATCCTACCTCTGGATTAAATTTTCAAACTCTAATAATTGCAGTGGAATAATAAGCAGAAAGGCTGCAGTTAATCAGGAATCGTTTGTTACCATTTCTGTGGCAGCCAAAGCTCTTGCTGCCTGTGCATGCTGTCCATTCTGTCCTCTTCCTGACACAGAAAGATAAGTAGCAACTCTGAAGAAAAACAGGAGGGATTTGCTGGAAAGCCAATGTAGCTATTTTGGCGTGGGAAAAATCCAAAAGAAATAGGAAGTTATCTCTGTGCAGGATTCAAGGAGAAACTTGGATTTCTTTTGCAATTTTCGCAGATGGGGGATGATCTACGTCAGGATATGCTCGTTCTGCAGATTATTCGTGTCATGGACAGCATTTGGCTCCAAGAGGGACTGGATATGCAAATGATCATATATAGATGTTTATCTACAGGAAAAGGCCAAGGTCAGTGTAGATTAAAAAGGTCCATCTCTCATGTAAGCAGTTTTATGCAATATTATTCTCTTCAGCCTTTTTTCTTATGGGTATCTTCTTTATCTTCCCCATTAAAGTGCAAGGAATGCTCAGAACTTCTGTTCTGAATTCTACATTTACATGAAAGTTCATGTTATTTATTCATTCTTCCTGTCCAGAAGAAACACAACCAAACTCACTGAATTTTATAGCATCTCAGCCTAGGATTTTCCAAAAGACTCAGCGTTTTTAGCTTGCATCAGATTTTTAAAAGTAGCATCACATATCAAAAGAAGAGCTTTGGAGTAAAATGTTCGTAGCTGCTAAAGTTTGTGATCCACAATGATTCCACTTAGATGTTTAGCTGAACCTAGAAACATGTGACTACAGAAAATACCCGTAGACAAGCGATGACAGCTTTGCAGTGTTGATTTTGAAATTTTACTCTTGTGAATAATGCTGCCAAGGGCAGGCCTGACTCATTTGAAAGCTTTATTTCTATCTAGTATTGTTCTTATAACAGAGCTATAGCGGGGATGCCAATTGCTTGCTGAAGCAATTTACTGACAGCAATAAGCTCACCTGTTTTCCTTTTACTGACTCTCCAGATCTTTTACTAAAAATAATCCTAGCACAAATAGAAGCCTGATGTATCCAGATTACCTGCTGTACAAAAAAAAAAAAAAAGAAAAAAAAGAAAAAAATATCTGCTGCTTTCTGAGACACAAAGCAGAGAAAATGAGATCCAAAGGAGGTAGGAGGAAGAATAGATGGGTCTGTGCACATGACAGTAGTTAATGCGACCTGAAAAAGACTCCTCCCTTCTTTGCAGAGCTGGGAGTCAAAGCCTGAAGGGGTCTGCTTCAAACATAAATAGCAGAAGAATATTATTTCTGAATAGAGTGTTATAGTCTCTCTGATATACTAACATTTCATTTTGATAAGAAAGATAAGGGGAACATCTGTAAATGATATTCTCAGTCTGATGGTTCCCTGCTTTCGGGATCATAATAGCAGAAAAGTGATGTGCATAGTGATACACAACAATTGTGCTCAGGTAGACTTGGACACCCAGCTCTTTCAAGTCTTAGGCTAATGACTTGCTACCCCACGAGGCTCCAGCTGGCCCCACTGCAGCCTCTCCACGAGCCCCAGGCTACCACCAGCTGCCGAGGGACAGGAGCGCAGCCCGGAGCTGGGCAGGAGCAGGACAGAGAAACACAGACACTGCCCAGTGAGAAAGCAGCAGCCACCCAGCAGCCAACCTCCAGAACTGCCCCCGCTGTGGGCTGACAAGTGCCAGGCGTCAAACCTGGCATAAGGGGAGGCAGCCCAGAGCGGGAGGGCAGCAGCACTGAGTGTCCCCTGCTCCTCCACCCCTACCACAGCCAGGGCCAGCCCAGCCCCAGGGCAGGCTCCCGCTGCCCCTCCTGCCCCTACCTGCTGCTGCACCACCCCACGCCAGCACTGCGAGATGCCCCACAGGCCGCTCGGCCTCTCCGTCACCACCGCTGCTGTCCCAGCTGGCACCTGCTTGTTCTTCTCCTCCTTCCCACCTGCCAGGGGACAAGCCCGGGGCTCAGTGGGGCTCCACACGCCGGCCCCACACCAACCACCGCAGCCTCCCCTCCTCCTGTGAGGCCTTGGGGAAGAGGGGGCGCAGCCACCAGGGCACAGCCACGTGCCACCCCCAGAGACCTCCCCGGGCTCGGGACTCTCCCCAGAGCCTCCCAGGGGCTGTCCCAAAGCGCAGCCAGGCCTGGGGGGATCCAGCGCAGCCCCTCAGGCACCACGAGGGCAGAGCCCCCCTCTCACCATCGCTGCCCGCAGCTCGGGCCTCCTCCAGCTCTGCGCCGCTCGGCTCCACGTGCACCAGCAGCTGGGTCAGGCGCCGCACGTGGGAGCGGAAGGCAGCGCTGCAGCGCGGGGCCCCGCGCGGCACCTCCCCGCTCTCCACGTACTCACTCAGCAGCCAGGACAGAGCGCTGCTGCCACTGGGGTCTGCAAGGCCAGAAGCTCAGAGGCCGCTTGTCCTGGGCTGCTGCCGGGCAGGGAGGGCGCGGGGGAGCGCAGGCTACCTGGGCTAGTGATGCTCTGCACCAAGGGAGTCACCGAGGCCTCCCAGTAGGTCCTGCCCAAGGCCTGGGCTGCCTCGTCGTCGGGAAGGAAGCGCTCGGCGAAGGCCTGTTCGTGCCGCAGGGCCCGGCTCAGCCTGCAACAGCGACCGCACAGGGCACAGCAGGGCCAGGCACGCGCTGACGGCCAACGGGCTCCTCGGCCGAGGGGCACAGCAGCCACCTCCTGCCCTGTGCCAGCCAGGACAGGGCCGTAGCTCCCCGCACACGAGGACACAGGGCCCTCTCGTGCCCCAGACAGGCCCCCTCACACTCCAGGCCCTTGTGGCTCTGCTCGCAGTCCCTGTGAGAAGCCGTGGGGCTGGAGGCCCTGGCCAGGAGATCATTCCTGGACCTCGCCGACGTGCCGGCCCCAGCAGGACAACCCGCCGTGCACGTACAGTCGCTGTGCCCGCAAGCCCAACCCTGCAGCCCGTCCCGCTCCCCGGGGCTGCCGGCACCGCGCAGCCCTCGCGCACCAGGCGCGGCGCGGGGCTGCCGGGGAGAGCTCACCTGCCAAAGAGCTGCAGCAGGCGCCCCCGCTCCCGGCACATCTCCTGGCACCACGCGTGGGCCCGCACGCTGCAGAAGAGGAACGTCCGCCGACACAGCTGCTCCTTGAAGACGGGCCAGAACGTGGGCCTGGGGCCCAGCACCTCGATGCCTCGCACGATCTTCAATGTCACTGTTATTATTCTGTGAGTGCTTGTTCATCCACATTTTCAGTAAGACCACTCAGATTCCTAATGTATGATCTTGATGCAGTTAAACAGACACAAGTTGAATAGAACATTCTGTTTTACAAGTTTATATATTTACAGTATTAAGGATAAAAATGCAGGCAACAGTATTATGGTAAAAATGCAGCCAAAATTTCAGTTGAAAAGATAGATAGCTATTAATTATTGACTGAAAATGTGATTTCTTGATGTTTGTGAGAAGTAACATATATGTTAAGTGTTATAAAACTAATTGCTACTCATGTTCTCTCTTTTTAAATATAAAATACAGCTCCATTTTCATAGGATTTGCATGAAATTGCTACTATACATTCATCTTGCGCTCACTGCTGAATTAACCTATTTCCTTAACTTCCTGATAATTTTTTACTCAGACAATATTGTGTCTGAAGTTCTCAAAAACTCGTGCAGAATAAGTTCTAATATCCTTATTTTACAGCTGGGTGAACAAAATCACAGAAAGATTAATGCTTTATCCAAGGTTGTCTAGTGCGTAAGCAGTCCAGTTAGACTCTTGTGCTATAGGCTAAGCACTCCATTACTTCTGTCATCACTATCAGCTGTTGTATGTGGCACTCTGCAACTTCAGGGAAAATGAAACTGCCTAAATAATTATTTATCTTATTAAGGTAGGTTTTGTCCAAAAACAAAATAATTGAAAATTAGGACTGTTTTGGTTTCTATATGAATGAATCACTTTGTGATTGAGATTCATGGAAGATTCAGATTTTTGAATAAGAATTGCATTTGTGATTGTTAAACTGTAGCAGCAAAGAATTAAAAAAGAAAAGCAAGAATTATTCCTTATATTCCATATGTTTTGGAGTAGAAGACTCATCATCATTTGGATCAGTAATAATTCTCTCCTATGAGAGGGCACTGAAAAGGTATGGTGCAAAAGATATTTGGTAGATTCCTCTGTTAGGAGAACTTGCAGTTCTTGAATACTTCCCACTGAAGTTAGCAAATAACTTAGACTCAACCTCTGGGCAAATATCTAATGAGCAGATCATTAGCTTACAAATTTTCCTACATATGACATGGGCACATTATTGTCCCAGAGTGTTATGGTACCTAAATAGATTCCTGAAATGGATCTGAATGAGACAGCCTAGGCACAAGAAGCAGAATAGACATGGAAGTCTACATCCTTCCCATGTTAAGTAGTGTATCAGAGCAGCGAGTTATATTAAACCAGATATAAAGCTATGGTGATAAAGCTAGACTGGTTTTTGGATTACTCACTCTCTTGGATCTCTCTGCATGACATTAGGTTTCATCCCATACTCTATTTGGATTCATGAGTATTTTGAACAGAAAATGGTTTAATCTTTCTTCGTTTCTGTTCATTTCTGTAAAATGGGCTTGAATTCTTTAGGGATGAATATTGTGAGGCTTCATTATTTGGAATTTGGAAAAGGCAGTTGAGTTCTGAAGAAAAAAAAGACCCGTGTTGATTCAGAAAAACTGTGGAAAATATGCGTCTTTCATTTCAATGCAAATGATTAAATTAATTGATTTCCAATTCTTCTGGTTTTTGGACCATCATTGTTTTTTACAATGTAAATGCAGCCTTCTGATAGAATACATCAGTTTGCTGACAAGGAGCTCATTTTGTTTAGGTACCTTTCACCTTAGACATTGTCCCCAGGATTCTAAGTGTAAATCACAAGTTGAAAACACCATGAATAAAACCATAGTTGCATCAAACCTTTGAAATTTGTTTATTACTTATCTGAGTACCAATCATACAACACTCATATCCTTAAATTTTAGCTACATGTATGGCTTTTGTAGGATTCACAACTTTGTGTTTTCATGTTAGCATCACAAAGAAGTGTATAGCTCTATATTTCCACTAAGTGTTTTTTATTTACTAACCAGGCAATAAGGAATTTCTTCTATTCCTGCGCTGGCTGGTGTGTTGTTACCTTCATCCTGGGAGTCTGTGATCGACACAATGACAACATAATGCTGACAAGTGCTGGGCATATGTTCCATATAGATTTTGGAAGATTTTTAGGTCACGCACAGACATTTGGAAACATAAGAAGGTTGGTATCTATAGTAACACATACTGTAAGCTTTAAATATTGTTCTGAAAAATTCACAGCCTTATCAACACCCATGAAAAATATAAATGAGATCAAGCATTTTTTTCTTCCAGAATTTCCCCTCAAAGAATATAGGAATGAGTGGAAGAGAAATTGAAAAGAGGTATTGGATATCCCCATTTGAGTCTAAGAAAATCTCAGTTCTTGTTAGGTCAGCAGTTTGAAATAGATTCAGTTCAGTAGTGACCAGAATTAGTAAGGGTTGGCCTGTGCCAAAAGAATTCTCAGGTCTTTCATAGATGAAAGTTGCAAAAACATAGCTATAGCTAATTAATGACTTTGTTGCCATCTTCAGAGAGAGACCAAATTTTCCAGATAGACCAATTATACTCTCCCTCACCAGTGAAATTTCAACCTCTTTATCATTTTTCGAGTTTTGCATCCATCCACACTGAGGTCCGCACTTATTTTGCAAATACCTGCTTTTATTTAAGCAAGACTGGGATTTTTTTGTTGTTGTATCTCTCTGCAACATTGTTATCCCATGATACAGATAGGTAAAATGCTGAGAATAATCATATATTCTAGTTCATATTGTGAGTATTTTATGAAAGAATTAATTGGAATAGAGTTGAGATAACTAGGGTCATGTCAGTACACACAAAACACAAGGAAAATGTTATAGCAGTGCAGACAACAAATAAATAATTCCAAGTACTCACAAAATGAGTGGTGCGGGTCTTTCCCCCGTGTTTCCTAATAATTTCCGGAATTAGTCCCAGAATGAATCAGTTTGAATTAATCATGCCTTTCTTTTTTCTTCTTTTTTTAAGCTGGCCTTTGACTATTTTAGACAATCTTAGTGTTAGACAGAAATAACAGTGTGGGGGTATTGATAGGAGCGAAGCTGATGGGGCTAATAAGCAGTTCTAAGCCAGGCAGTCAAAAGATTTAGTTGCAGTGCTCAGAATTATTGTCAATCATTCAGAATGTGCTCCCTTAATCCTACTTATTTGCCGTGGAAAGAATAATGCAGACAGAGTCATAAAAAGATACTCCTGCTCACATTAAATGAAATGATGCCTCCCGTCAGCAAAGCTCCTTCTAGTCTCTAACTGGAATTTCCTTGAGCAGGAATTTTGTGTGAGGGGAAAATTATCTAGTGGGAGTGCAAGATATGACCAGCTGAATATAGTGGGAGGCACAGCATCCAAACTTAAAGAGAATTATGTATCAGAAGTAATAATGGACACTAATTTTTCTGTTACAATTCAGTGATACTACATTTTCTTATTAAGTCTATAAAAATGACTTAGAGGACATAGGCATTTCTGTAAACAGCAGGCATTTTCTTCTTCTTTCTCTGTGCAATATACTGCTTTACTTAACAGCAAAATACAATGGTAATATATTTTAGGTGCTTCACTTAGCTCCCTTATAGTTCTATAAAGTTCCACAGCCAAACTAGCACTCACACTTTTTCTGTAGATTGTAAACATCAAAGGACATTAGTTGACTTCCCCAAAACTACATGTGAGCAGCTACAAGGTAAGGGACTGTACTTCTCATGAGCTGTACGTGCCTTCAAGAAATGCAATACTATTTGTAACACAGAGATGTAGGGATATTGCATTTCTACTTCCAAAAAAAAACAGGCTCTCAACATTGGAAATTCTCAGTGCTATTTGTGTCCACTCATAGCAAATCCTTGACACAGTTTTATCCTCTGTTTTTTTAACAGCTCCTTATATTAGATTTTTATTTGAGTTCTTTGCACTCCTGCAGAATGCTTTCAGAGCCTTAGAATTATTTGCACTGACTGACCCTTGGGGGATTTTATAGTAGACACTAAATTCATCCTTGTGAAGTTCTGTAGGTGGTTTGTAAAATTAATAGCATCTGATAGGAACCCCCATACATGCAACTGGCCTTTACACACATCATAAAACAGCTATTTTATTCTTTTTTTAGGCAAGCAACTCAGACAATTTAATGAAAAAGCGTTCTTGTTTGTAGTGTTTATAATGGCCATTCCTTTCTCAAATGCAGAAAGCTGTTGTTTTTCTATTCTCAATGTGTGGTTTTTGCTAATAATAAACTCTTACTCCCCATAAGGCTTCATAAGGATAGGCACTCCCAGTACGCTGTATAAGGAGCTATTTCTTTCTTATGTAAGTAAGGGAAAATATACCCAGCAGCCTTGAGGATAACACGTTGTCATGCTTGGCCTGTGCTTCTTTTTACAAAATAGTCTGTGAGTCTGAAAAGAGCCCTTTGAAGCTGATATGATTCAGACAGATACACTAATTTCTGCATTCATGATTGTGTAACACGCTGATAAGGGATTAGTTAACTCATTAGTTACCTGCCCTCATCTTTAAATGATGTCCAGCAAATCTACTCAGTTTCAGTTCCAAGGTGGAAACAGCAGCTCAGCCCTTACTGATCGGAGAGGGAAGAGGCATCAGTAATTTTCTGTCTTTTTCAGTGCTATGTACCTTCACAGTGCACTGAATATGTTAAGTAGTAGTAATAATCTATCTTTACATTGGTCAAGGAACTAGTGTTTCAGTAGAAATGTTGGAAGAAGACATATGATTTATCTAGCAAATGCTGTAATAACAGTGCTTGGGAGGAAAATTATTTCTGAAGTCCCACAGGGAACTTTTCTACTGAAGCGTGAGATTTCATTATCTTTTTTCTCTTACTAGATGTGTTTTGTTAGTGGAGATAAAATTATACATCTTCCATTCTATAATCCATTCCCCCATGTATGGGGATTCCCACAGCATTTGACCTCAAATTCCCCTTAAGTAATGATTTCCAGAGGTATATTTCAAGCTCTTTGAAGAATTATTTATCACTTAGGTTCATATGACTGTGCTGTTCTTTGACTATTGAGTATTCAGTGGCAATTGTCTGGGGCCCACTCCTTTTGAAATAGGTGGAGTCTTATCCAAGTAATCCTATGGCAGCAAAGGCAATGATCAAATGCTACCATAGGTGTCTGCTCATGGTTGCTCCTTCCATGGTCCTTCCATCTTCAGTTTTGTAAGGGATATATCTAAATGCTGTACTAACTGAACTGATCCTAAATTTAGCAGTTTCTTCCTGTCCACTGCCAGTCATTTCCAGCACCATTATCTGTATTTTTCCAGTCCATGTTATGTAGTCTGAAATCTGATGACAAGAATTGAAGCAGTTCAACTCATGGCATGCTATATATGCACCTCTTAATGATTTTGGTGCCCCTTTTTTTTTTTCTCCTTTTTTTTTTAATAGATCATCCCTACTTATTCACAGCAGTCACTGGACTTTATTTTCCCTGACCTGAATCATGGGGACCCTCTTGTCTTTTTGCCAAACTAATCTTGCATGTTGATGTGGTTTTCCCAGATGTGAAATATTCTAAGTTGGTTTTCTTCTACACAGTTAATTACTGGAGGCAGCCTAACTATTCCACTGGGAAATACCAGTTTTTTGAAGGAAGTTTTAAAAATATGGGAAAATGGTGTTTCCCACACTTTCTTCCTATGTCACTGTTTTCCTGTTCAGAGAGGCACTTACTTAAGAAAAATCTAACCATATAGGAAAATAGGAAAAGTGCCTCTTTTTAACTTTTCAATTTTAGTGTTAATAACTTAAGTGTCACTCTCTCTCTAGAAGTGTGGCTCTGAAAAAAGTGCATTTCTTTTGAGTTATTTCTTTTGAGCTATTTCTTTCTGAAATGGTAAAGTTAGCATACAGTCAGGTAATGGGGAAAAGTAAATTGCATCTACATGCTTTGAACATTTTCCATTTTTTTTTCTATTAAAGTATATGAAAGCATAGAGAAGAAGAGGAAAGATAAGAATATCAGAATTTCATATTTAACTTTTTTCCTTTTCCATTTTATTTCTTTAGAGAATTTCTCAAGTCTAAATACAATAATTTATAAAAAGAAATCAACATATAACCACTTTCTCATTTTCTAACTTTGTACATGAAAAGCATTGTTTTCAACAAGTCTGTTTTACCTGAAAATTTTCTTTTTCATTAGAAATGTATGAATGTGTCTATTTATTACCTCATTTTTACATGCTGAATTTCTTCCTCCAGTGTAATTGATTTGAAGTGAATTATAGTTTATATGAAGTCATGTCACCATCCACCTTCACACTTGCTGTATGTCACCCTCCAAAAACCTGTCTGAAAACCTGCAAAGATTGAATTTCATGACTTTAAGCAGCATGGTAGGCCCAGTGGCTTAATAAGATTATACAGATGTTTAAACATATCCATAAACCTTTGCATGAACTGAACCTGCATTTTGGAAAGTGCTCTACTTTTGAATGAAACTATGTCACCTTGAAAGTGACAGGGCCTAAAGAGGTTTCAATTTATGAGGAAAGATGTCCATCACTTCTGAAAATCAGGTATATCTAATTGCCTCAAATTAAACAGCAGAGGCACCAGTTAACTCTAAAAATATACAGAGCAGCATAGTTCTAGTCCTCAGTTTCATAGACACTTATTTTCATCCACTTTGAAGAGTGTTTATTGTTTCTATTTTGATGCCTTCTCTAGTTACTAAGTCTGGATGATCGATTTCCCTTCACCATTGGTTATTTGCTTTCTGTCGTAGTCTCATGTGGATGGGATTCATCTAAAGCTTTTGGAAATCAGAGCAAATTATGTTCACTGTCCACTTAGCATCCTTTATTTTATTTATTATCCTTTTCAAAGTAACCAAACAATTATGGGAGGGCTCATTTTTTCTCATACAGTGGCTGTACTGGTTTGACCCTATCCAGTTTTACTTATCCAGTGGTATTATTGTGTGTTTTGTGTTGTATGTTCAGTTGAGTTTCCTGGGTCTCAGTTCCTTTCTTCCACAGTTCTCACTATCTTTGTGGTCTCTTATTTTACTTGAAGCACGACATTAGCTGTTTTCCACTCTTCAAGAACTGTTGCTTTCTTGAAGGAGTTATTATGAATTCTTGTTAAGAGTTATTTGGGCT